GTAGGGTTGGGGGGAAAGGCCAGTCTAAAACTGTGGAGTGCTGCTTCTGGCCAATGCGGACAGAACTTAGCTAAAATGGACCACTGGTCTGGAATAAGGCAGTTTCCTATGTTCCTATACCCATAACAAAGAAATGGGTGCTGATACAGTTAAATGCACATCAGATTTGTTTCAGTTGGAGGTGCGAATTAACTGACTATAGCAGAGGTGGAGAACCTGTTTCTCATTAGATGTTGCTGGACTGCAGAACCCATGATCGCTCACCATTGGCCATGTTGGCAGGAGCAGATGGGATTCGGAGTCAAACAACAGCCAGAGGGTCACAGATTCCTCACCACTGGGTCAAGCCAAAAGTTTCCAATTTTGAAGAGCGATTTGAAGGAAGTGTTCTGTGAAGGAGTTCAAGGCAGATGGAGAAGCATGGGAAGAAGAAGGAGCTATGCTGATGAGAGAGAGCAGGTTGGGAAAGCGAAGTTCACAATAAGGTTATCGTGAGAAATAAGGGGAGGGAATATGAGGCAAGGTCATGCCACAGAAAGCTTCACAGGTGAGGGCAAGGTCTTTGGGCTGGATGGAGAGTCAGGATCTGATGCCACATGTTCTGGGAACAGCTTTTGCACCGGTGGTTTGGACAGAGACGAAAGGTCTGGCTGAGAAGAGACTGCCAGAAGGAAAGTTGGAAGAGCCAAAGGCAGCCAGGAGCTGACCAAAGCAAGCTTTACAAAACCCGAGAGGTTGTTGTTTTTTGCAGTGTTGTATAGAGAGAAGCTATATCTGTGGGGATTTGAATTGTGCACTAAACATTGTGTCTGTTGTGCCATTTCCAGAGAGCTGGATGCTTTCAATATATACAGAGAGCTGAAAAAGGCTTTCAGAAGTTTGTTTATACACCACACAGAGAGACACACACACACACACATAGACAGAGAGAGAGAGAGAGAGAGAGAGAGAGAGCGCCTTGCGTGACTACAGCTTTGGCTGGAAACATAAAGTCATTGTTTTAAAGTGATAGTCTCCTCCCTTTCTCCAACCTCCTTGTAAGAGGACAGCATTCCTCCTTCGCATTCCTTAACCACTGCTGAGATGGGGAGGGAAAGCTGTGGAGGGAGCGAAAGAGAGGGCTGGAGGAAGCAAATGTTTTAATTACTAAAATGGGCTGGAAAGGAGCGAAGGCACCCACTGAAAAAGCAAGATAAAGGATGTACGGAACAGGTAAATTAAGCATGATTGCCAAGAAAAGAAAAAAGAAAAAAACAAGCCCGCAGGCTGAATAATATGTCAACCAGATGTTGCTAAGATACAAAGAATTAGTGGCGTTTTCCCCACAGGCCCACATGAGCAATTCAAAGCATCCTTTATTCTATTTAACCTGGAGGTCTCCTGGGGGGGAGTGGGGAACGAGAGCCTTGTGTAATGCCCATCCTGTGTGAGCCACAGGTAATAGTAGGTCAAGAGAGAGCAGTAAGGTAAAGGTAAAGGGGCCCCTGACCATTAGGTCCAGTCGTGACTGACTCTGGGGTTGCGTGCTCATCTTGCTTCCGGGTCATGTGGCCAGCATGGCTAAGCCGCTTCTGGTGAACCAGAGCAGCACACGGAAACGCCGTTTACCTTCCCGCTGGGGCAGTACCTATTTATCTACTTGCACTTTGACTTGCTTTTGAACTGCTAGGTTGGCAGGAGCAGGGACTGAGCAACGGGAGCTCACCCCGTCGCGGGGATTCGAACCGCCGACCTTCTGATCAGCAAGTCCTAGGCTCTGTGGTTTAACCCACAGCGCCACCCGCGTCCCTCAAGAAAGCAGTAGAAAGATGCTTTTGACAGATTGGCTGATAAGCAGGCAGAGGCCTCTACCAGCAGAGGATTGTGGGCCTGCAAAGAAAACTAGGGATTTACCAAGCAGATCATTTTGTGCTAAAAAACACCAGGGCATAAGGTGCCGAAGGGCATTGTGCCAGAACTAGCAGAATTCTCACTCACTTTCATCCTGGTCCGTAACACGTTTTATTGGACGCATAGAACATACTTCCAAGTAAGGTGCTTTCGGATCGGAGTCCTAAACACTGCAGGTGAAGACCTTTCTGTAGCTGCCAGGGATAAGGAGCCTATGGCCCTCCAGGCTGCAGCTCCCATCAGCCCTGACCATTGGGCATGCTGGCTGGAGCTGATTGGGAGTCCAACAATATCTTGAGGGCCACAGGTTTCCCAACCCTGCCTTAGGCAGCGGGAAGTAGACATTGAGATAGCGATCAATCAGCTTTTAAAAGTTGTGTGCGGTTTGGATTTCTGCCAAATCTGCCATGCTTTGGGGGGTGGGGACAACCAGGCACATGCTCACTTCGGAGACTGCAGAGGCTGTTATTACAGTGCAGAATGCAAATCAATTGGTCAGGGAAAGAAAGATGCTCACAGGAAGTGTTTCAAAAGATGGAGGGACTCTGGTCCACTGCTGATGGGTAGTCCAGGTGGGGTTAGGCGAGTACGGGTATCTGAGAACTGTTTGAACCCTAGCATTGCAATGGGCAGCCCAAACCTGTTCTTTCTTTGTGACAAATCACCCAGCTCTTTCTGCCTGCCGCTGCTGGGTTCAAGAACTTGGAGCCTAGCAAGTAAGCTGGACCCATCTTCCCCCTTTTGATCCCTCATCTCTGAAAACTATGCCATGGATGTGTGTTTTGTCTGCAGCCATCGCAGCCATTCTTTCCCTAGTTTCTGAATTCATCCAACAACCAACCATGTGTGCATACCCGGCCTTTAAGCTCACTAAGGACTACAAACTTGCCTGGAGCGGTTTTGAATCCATTTGCTGTTTACAGTAAGATATGGGGGGTGGGGGAGAGATCTGGTTCCATTTTCGTCTTGGAAGTGTATTTGAGAAGTCTGGAAACGATTTAAATGCTTAGCAGGTGAGTGACAGGAATTCTCATCTAAGCATTACCTAACACCTTGCAGGAGCACTATAAATATCAAATTATCATCTGTCACCTCTCTAGCTGATGCCATTATTTCTCCCTGCTAACTGGTCACTGCAGAGGTTTCTTGCCTTATTGGTAAAGGTAAAGGTACCCCTGCCCGTACGGGCCAGTCGTGACCGACTCTAGGGTTGTGCACTCATCTCACTCAAGAGGCCAGGAGCCGGCGCTGTCCGAAGACACTTCCAGGTCACGTGGCCAGCGTGACGAAGCTGCACTGGTGAGCCAGCACCTGTGCCGCACACGGAAACGCCGTTTACTTTCCCGCTTTAAAGCGGTACCTATTTATCTACTTGCACTTAGGGGTGCTTTCGAACTGCTAGGTTGGCAGGAGCTGGGACCGAACGACGGGAGCTCACCCAGCCGCAGGGATTCGAACCACCGACCTTACGATCAGCCAGTCCTAGGCACTGAGGTTTTACCCACAGCGCCACCCGTGGCCCCCCGAATTATTGGTAGTGTGTGTTTTAAATAGCTGCTCCTATCTACAGTGCTGCTTGCTGCCACATTTTTTGAAGCTAAACCATTTTTGGTGTAAAACATGGGTAGGCAAACTCAGGCCCGGGTGCCGGATCTGGCCCAATCGCCTTCTAAATCTTGCACACGGACTTTCCAGGAATCAGCGTGTTTTTACATGAGTAGAATGTGCCCTTTTATTTAAAATGCATCTCTGGGTTATTTGTAGGGCATAGGAATTTGTTCATCCCCCCCCCCAATATAGTCTGGCCCCCCACAAGGTCTGAGGGACAGTGGACCGGACCCCTGCTGAAAAACTTTGCTGACCCTGGGTGTAAAATGACCCCCCCCCAAAAAAAGGCTGCAGAGTACCTAGTTGGAAACTCTATGGATGGGAGGAAATTTGGGGGAAAGCTTTTTGTTCCCCCCTCTCCAAGAAAACTAGTGTTTTGCTCATTCTTTAATTGTAAGAGTTTGAAGATAATAGCATCTATCCCTTTATTTCTCTGTCAGAACATGAATGGGGGGGCGATTCTTAAATATAATGGTCAAGAAGTTAAAATAAGAGAGAGGCTAAAATATTTTTGTTTATTTTTATTTATTTATTTTATCTTATCTCCAAAACCCTGCCCTTTAACGTGAAATTATTCAGGGTGGATCACAGCAGACAGCACCACACAAAACCAATCTTTCTTTCTTTTTTAAAAAGTATCTGAGGATCGCCTTAAAGTTCTATTCAGTCGATCCATTGGACCTAAGTTAGTCATGTCCATTAACTTCAATAGGTTTACTGTGAACACAGAAAACATTGAATAAAACAGAATCTGTAATTCAATATATTTATTTAATGTACTTTTTTTTTAAAAAAAAGCCAGTTTCCAACTTGTACAAATAAATGAAGTACTCCTAGCCTTCTGCACAATTTTAGATTCGTGTAGTCCCCAAAAGTTTAAAGAAATTCATCCGATTCCTATTAATTCCTATTATAGGAATAAGACCAACAGGAAATGGGACCAGCAGTCCCCGCTCTAAATGACTTTGCTGTGCCCCGCACATGAATGGGGTACAAAAACGGTGCTAGCACCGTTGCGTCAAGGAAATAGCGTGACGTCAGAATTGCGGTAGCTTTTTTTTCGTGTGTCCGGATGCATGTCTAAGCTTGGTGCATGAAAACGCTTAGCCGCACAGCCCAGGTGCATGCTTACTCACAAGTAAGCCCCGTTGTGGTTATGAGAATTTATTATTGCATTTCATTATCTGTTTATCATCCATTTATATCTATCTATCTATCTATCTATCTATCATCTATCTATCTATCTATCTATCTATCTATCTATCTATCTATCTATCTATCTATCTATCTATCTATCTATCTATCTATCTATCTATCTATCTATCTATCTATCTCGTTTAAATAACGAAGTATATAAACATTAACTGGAATGTGGCGAGAGAGGGAGGGACGGAGGGAGAGGAAAAACTACGACTCCCGTGATGCTCTATGCCTCGGCTTGCCGCAGTCGAGCGAGCCTGCGGCTGCGGAGTATATAAAAGCAGGCATGGCTCGAGCTCGGGCAGTGGGAGGGAGGTGGGCAGGGCGCGCGTTTGGCTGGTGCGCGGCGAGAGTTCGTCTCCTCCGGAGCTGCTGCTTGGGCGGCGCTCGGCCGCCGGGGTACGGCAGGAGGGGCTTGGCGGTTGGTGGAGGGGACCTCTCGGCGCCTCCTCGATGCTTCGGGATCCCGAGAGCGGGCTGCTTCTTCCAGCCTCTTTCTCTCCCGGGTGCCTGGATGCGCCGGGAGCTGCTCTCGCTCTTTTGGGGCTGGCCCGGAGAGAGACAGAGAGCGCGCGCCTCGCCGGGCACAAATCGCGGGGGATCGTGCGCATTTCTCGGCTGGCTCCTGCAGGTCGGCAGAACCCCTAAACCCCGAGTGTCTGCCAAGGATGGGATGCGGGTTATTATGGCCCCCACGACCTGGACGCATCTTCCCCGTTGGACAAGGAAGGACCTCGCTGCGTTGGATTTATGCCTCTGGGATGTTCAAGCATCGCCCTTCCGGGAAGAGGGCATCTGCTGGAGAGGAGGGAAGATGCTGGCAAGAACACCTGGGAGAACCTGGCCCCTTGGTCTCCCTCGGGCCTGGATTATTGTGGTACCCCTGCCTCGCAACGATGGTTTTTGCGCACCCCTGTTGGGCTTGGACACCTTTGCCTGAAGCAAAATCCGGTGCGTTTTGGAGCTGATCTGCTTGGTGCCCTCTCCGTCCCCGCCTTCATATTTGGAATATAATTCTTGCTGCGCTTTTCGCGGCAGCCCCTCTCCACATGGGGGATGCCCTCCAGGTAAGTTTCCTGTTTGCCGTCGATTGCTTTGGATTCTCTGGGAAGCGGTGGCGTGAGGATGAGGGGCAGCTGGTGCTCTTCGTCTTGGCATCTCGGCTCCAACGTGGGTGATGGAGCGCTTTCTGTTATTATTGGATTTTCAACAGTTCTGCCAGTGATTGTTTTACATGCACCACCAATGTGTATGGATGTACGTGATGCTCTTAAGGAGACATCGCCAAACTGGGAATAATAAGCGGGCGAATCCCCAGCACTGTGATGAGGGTGAGCGTTAAAATCGTTCCCCTTTCTCTCCCTATCGCGTTCCAGGAAGTTTCGCTTTATTATCGCTTTGCATTCAGGGCCCGTTACTTGAAGGCTTGTATTAGCGAGGGAACAGCGCCTACCCACCGCAGGGAAGCTCCAGGCAGCCCGCAACCCGGTGAGATGGAGCCGCGAATGAATACAGACGAGCCTTGCGCGCGCTGACTGGTGCAATTCTGGGGTGTTTTGTTTGGGGGTGTCGAGGAAAAGCGGCGAGGCGAGCAAGTCATGTAGGAAATGGCATCTGGGGAGAGGAAGTGCATTATGTGCCTGGCGGTGGGTGTGAGGATGAAACGCACCTGTCCTTTGGGGAAAGTCCTGTGCAATGTGTATGGCTTATCCGTGCACGTAATTCAAAAGTGTTCATCTTTTTTTGGGGAGGGAGAACCTTGCATAATATTTCCCTCTTCCCTTCTTCCTTGTTTTTCAAAAATAAGATCTAATAAAAAGCATGCATGTACTGGAGTTGTTGGAACGGTCATGTCATGTTATGCAGGCGAGCGAGCCCAGTGGCTTGATCACAAAGCCTTGCAGTTCTTCCGTAGATGCACACATGCAATGCTTTGTCTGCTTGTTCCCCCAACACAAATTTTGGTTGTGCCTTCTTTTCCAACAAGGGTTGTTGTTTTTTCAGTCTCCTGTGCCTCCTTATTTTGTCCCTGGGGGCACAGGTGATGTTAACCTTGCTCTGTAACTTAATACTGAGTCCTTCATCTGTGTAAATGGGCTCTAATGGTTCGCTTTAGGCTGCTCTCTTCTATATAATCAGCCTTTGTTTTCATTAGGGTAGCCAATATGCTCTTTGTTTTTCTTCCTTCCTGGGTGCCTCTCTGATCTCGGGAGTTTCTTCCCACTAGGACATATTTCATGCACCCTCTAGCCAGGGTGTGCAAAGCTAGAATTCCCTCCTCAGCCTTCCTCTATGTTTCCGTGACTCACCTGCCCAAGAGGCAGAGGCAGTTTATCTTGTTCCCTGACAGCACTACTAGCTCCATAGTGAGGTTTACCGACCCCTACGCTTGTACTGGGATGCTACACACTGCCTCACCACCGCAGCCTTTTTATAGAGCTCTTGTGGGAACTGGTGGAATCTTGCCGCCCATGAATCTTATTTATGGCAAGAATGCCTAAACCACATTTCTTAGCTTGACAAGGATCTTGGATCGAATCTCTCTTTTGCACTGCTTCCCTTCCTTTCACCATCACTTGTGCCTGTTCTTGCTTCTGGGAGCACATTACCGAAACCTGATTTGAATGATCTTATAGGAGCCATTTGCTCCCAAGGCAGCTCCAAATGTCCGTTAGATATGCATAAACATGTTTTAGTCTCTTGCAGTGGTGTGAATGCATTTCCGTCCTCTCAGATTTTTTTTACATTTGTCATCTCCCAAGACAGAGCATTTATGTTTTCAGTGGTGGTGGTGAAGTCAGTAGAGCTGACTGGCAGGAAGGTCGTAGGAGGTTAGATACAAGGAAGAACATCCAAATCATTCAAGGTAGATAGATTAGTGCATGGTTTACTTTGTATGGCAGACAGCTCATCCAACTCTCAAAGCTCACATGTCTGAGATTTCAGCCCCTGCAGGAATGCACTCATTTGGGAAGTGTGTAGACCACCTTGAAGGAAAGGTGGTGTAGAAATGTAGTAAAAAAAAAAAGGGTCTGTGTTGTCAGTGTAATCTTTTAGGCAATTCCAGCATGATAGTTTCCTTTCCATCACTGTACTAATTTTTTTGGGGGGGGTTGGAACATCATTTCTTGTATTTCAACTGCAACCTTATAGTGAAAATGAATGAGGCTCACGTTCCCACACACTACTTGAGCAATGGAAATCAACGTTAAAGAAACTGTAGGATCATCTCTGTGTGTTTCATCAGGAGGATGATGAAACTTCTGGCAGAGCTATGATGGTCTTTGCCTTGGTATGGTGATTTGGGCAAGCTAACATCTTTCTTTTCTTTTTAAAAAAAAAGGGATCCAGTGGTGACACTGGAACTTGCACATTGTTGCAGTTTGTGTGATGTGACCATTAGCTTGTGTGTTAATCACAACAACAAAATTCTATGTTTGAGCAGAAGCATACAGCAGAAGCGGAATGTCTAACTCTGAATATACATTCATTCAGATGCATATTCTAATAAATATGCATTCATTCAGATGTATATTGCAGTAAAGGTTTATCATCCATACATGGTTCTGTAGCAGCAATCGCTCTCTCTCACTCTCACTCTCACTCACACGCACACACACACGGGTTTATAGATGCAATCTTTCTCATGGGAATTCGAGTGGTGCTATCAGTTTTATTTCCTTCTTGTCTGTGAATTGCATTCACTCTGACATTGTAGAAGCCTTTCTGCGTGTGTGTGCATGCTCATAACCTCACGTCAACTCTCGGTGAAATATATTATCTCCTTTCTTATTTTGCTTCTGTAAATAAAGGCTACACCCCTCTGGTCCTGTGTTGGACAATTACAAAGGGATCGGGGCAAATCCTTTCCTAAAACATCTAGCATAAAATATGTTCTGGAAATGACGCATGAGATAACTCCGCAGTAAGCAAGAAGCGAATCTTCTGGACTTTAGCCTGGGTGCTGTGTTTAATCTCTCCCCTTTTCGAATGGGTGTATCATACAAACTATGGTGTTATGCTTTAGCAACCATCACTTGGGTTCAGCAACATTTCTGGACAGTAATGTCTTGCTATCCCACCAGCCTGGGGTAGTTTTAAGAAAGGTAATCAACAGCCCTGTAAGCACTTGGGAGAATATACCCCAAAGCAGTGCTGTTTTTCTAGAAAAAGAGGTGCTGGCACTCACAATGAACACCTTCCTTGTTCTCTTATAAGGGCAATGACTCCCACCTGAGAGGTGCCGGAACTGAGTTCAGGTGAGTTCCGGCTGAAAAAAAGCCCTGTGCCCCCAAATGAGTATTCAGGTAACTTGAGAAGATAAAGAAAGCCAAAAAACCAAACAATCCCCAAAACACTTTCTCTCCATTTATTTTTGTTGCTATATTGCTCATTTTCTTCCCTAATGTAGCCCTCATAATGCAAGCTTTGTTCTAGTTCCATTCATCTCCTCGCCACCCCAATTCAGCCTACAAATGTGTGTGACTAGAAGGACACCCTTCCATAACTGCAATATGTAGTGCTGTTGGTCATAGAATCGTAGGGTTGGTAAGGAATGTTGGAAATGTAAAGAAAAGGAAGGGAATTTTTATCACATGTGGTGGAAGTGCAGTAAGGTAAAAGCTTACTGGGACAGTGGTACCTCGGGTTACAGACGCTTCAGGTTACAGACTCCGCTAACTCAGAATTAAGAACTATTTCTAACTCAGGTTAAGAACTTTGCTTCAGGATGAGAACAGAAATTGTGTTCTGGCAGCGTGGCGGCAGCAGGAGGCCCCATTAGCTAAAGTGGTGCTTCAGGTTAAGAACGGACCTCCGAAATGAATTAAGTAGCGTATTTTTTGCTCTATAAGACGTACTTAACTCGAGGTACCACTGTAATGTGTTAAAGATAATATACAAAAGTACATTTGTTAAAAAACCAGAAGCATTTTTATTGGGGATAATAGGTGAGGAAATCCTGAAGAAAGACCAAAGGCTGTTCAGGTATGCAACAACGGCAGCAAGGACTTTATTAGCTCAAAAATGGAAGAAGCAGGAGTTCCCAGCGATTCAAGAGTGGCAAATGAAGATGATTGAATATGCAGAGTTGGCAAAGTTGACCGGGAAAATCTGAAACCAGCGGGTTCAAACATTCCAAAAAGACTGGAGTAAATTTATATGACATTTGAAGGATAATTGTAAACGTTCAACAACATTAGCAGGACTGACTTAAGAAACTTGTAATGTTGAGGTTATGTACTTTTTGACATATTTTTTTAAAATTTGATAATTCAGATGGATATAATGTAAACAGGAAAAAATAGAAATACTGTGAAATAGAAATAATTTAGGTAACCATGAGGTGGGAGGGAGGAAAGTCGATAGCTCTTTTGAGCAAATAACAAGGCAAAAAATATAAAAGTACTGTAATAATAATGTAAAATTCAATAAATATAATGGGGGGGGGAATAGAACTGTAGAGTTGGAAGGGACCACGGGGGTCATCTAGTCCATCACCCCTGCAATGCAGGAATCTTTTTGCCTAGTTGGAGGCATTGAACCCACAACCCTGAGATTAAGAGTGTCATGCTCTACCAATTGAGCTATCCCATAATAATAATAATAATAATAATAATAATAATAATAAAAATAAAATAATTTTTTATTTATATCCAGCCCTCTCCAGCCGAAGCTGGGCTCAGGGCTGCTAACAACAATCAAAATAATCCAACATTCTAAAAACATTTCATTATAAAAATTAATTAAAATCAAATTGATGGCAACCATTAAGCAAAATTCTGTGCAGATTGCCAGAGGAGGGGGTCAGGCTGCGCCCTGACCAAAGGCCTGGTGGAACAGCTCTGTCTTGCAGGCCCTGCGGAAAGATGTCAGGTCCCGGAGGGAAGAAGAAGAGGAGTTTGGATTTGATATCCCGCTTTATCACCACCCTAAGGAGTCTCAAAGCGGCTAACATTCTCCTTTCCCTTCCTCCCCCACAACAAACACTCTGTGAGGTGAGTGGGGCTGAGAGACTTCAGAGAGGTGTGACTAGCCCAAGGTCACCCAGCAGCTGCATGTGGAGGAG